CCCCCCCCCAAATATCTAGTTTAAAGTTCAAATTTAGTGGGTTTTAGTTATTTTGGAAGTCTTTAAGTAATTTGTTTTTTTTTTTTGCTTTAGCAGCTGCACTTGGTTGATAAAAGAAAAAAGAGCTAGTTTCTATCATAGTTTTATGTAGACATTTATACCTCTAATTATTTTATTTTATATACATAATACATTATTTATAGTTTTTCACATGAGTTGCTCTACATTAATATGAATATAAGAAAACTGTGTCATTCGAATGGAAAATTTATGGATATCTGTATTAAACCAATGAATTCAAGAAAAGTATCTTGCTTATAAACTTTTATTAGCTATCTATTGTTAAGTAATCATGTATTTTCGCTTTAACTTGTGACTTTTAAGATTTAATTAATTATTTGATTTGATGAAAATGTTCAGTATGAATAATAATTTTTTAATCTATCGTTACCGCGACACACAACATTAACGGGTATGAATCTGTAGCATCTCATGTTCTCATTACATTATGGATTAAAAAAAAAACTATAGAAGCTAAAATGAACATACAAAAATCATAAGTATAGTTGAGAGTAGAAGATGCACACAAAATACAATATTTAGGGTGTGGCCATCTTTTCTTTTCTTTTTTTTCCTTTTTCGTAGTAGATCTTAGATGCAGTCAATATTTATGGTTTGAACTATTTATATAACTCGAGTTGCCTTTTGCTAAAAATATATATTCACATTAAGTCAACATCAATTGCCACAATTAATTAGCGAGTGCAATAATAATTCGTATCTACTGATTTAAACTCCAGAATCTATCTAAGTATAAGAACTTCAAATTAAAAGAGAAAGGATCTTTGAGATGAGATATTATTTACATCATTGAAGTGAATAACAAGAAAGCAGAAATCATCATGTTTCAATAAATTTGATAAAAAAGTGCTTTCATGGAAGTAACATGTCAAAAACACTTGCTAAGCTACCAACTACTCACCAGAAAGAAAAAGAAAAAAAAAAGGTTTAAAATCTGTTTGTTGAAAAAGATTATTTTAACTGAGATAGACGTCTGTGAAAATCTGGATTTTCTGGAAGACAAGCTTATAGTAATGATTGGGGGCGTAATGAGAATTCAAACTTTATGAATTCTTCGACCTGTCCAGGATATGGCCTATATGAAGATCGAGGATTAAGGTAGTAAATTAGTATATAATCGAGTATAATTCTTTTTATATGTATTGCTTTTCTATATTTGTAGTACTAGTGTATTCTCATATTTCCTTCTTAGATTTGTAATACTACATATTGTTTCTTTTGTTTAAGTTATCTTTTTTCTTGTTATGGTTACTGCTTCTCTTTACATGAACTCTCCTTTGACGTATTTCCTTATCTAAACTGTTATGATTGTGCTTTTCTAAAACCGGTGATCTATAGAAAATAATATCTCTTTCTTCACAAAATAGGAGTAAGAAATATACTGGGTATCTTGTTGTTGTTGCTGTTATGAATTAGCGATAGTAGGTGTTATTAATTAAATTTTAAATTTAATTTATATAATAATTTTTTTAATACACGTAGATAATTTGAACTAAATTAAGCTACTGAGTAGCCGAACCATAATTAACCTTCTAGCTCGTAATGACACGTACCAAACATAGATGGAGTGGACCTTGTTCAGTGCAAAGTCGTATAATATTCCAAACTGAATGGCTACAATCTCATGAATTCTAGAAATTCGATATTCAAGCACGCTCGTTTCTGTAGCAGATAACCTTTTCTATTTTGTTATACTAAGTGTGAGTTAGCATTCAAGATAACCTTTTCTATTTTGTTACCCAAGCTTTGTTTCTCAAATCTTTTGTAGAAAATTTCCCAAGAACTAAGGTTTTAAAAATCCAACTAAATACTAATATTGAGTAGTGTGTGCATATATATTACTATATTTTCAAGAAAAAATGAAAATGAAAAGGAGAAAAGGAAAATAGATTCTCTACCCAAAAAAGGCTTGGAGCTAATTAAGGGGAAAAGAGAGCGTAAGAAACGCGTTGCAGTAATGGGATTTTGCTGAAGGAATCAATAAATTGGGGCCTACAGTCCAAGCTGGTAATGGAGCCCACTCAAAAGTGTATGACTGTACGTTTGTTTAGCTTAATAATAACACAAAACCTAACTTTTTTTCTTCTTTTTTGTAGTATTTGCTTATTTCTAAGAACATAAAACAAACACTTCAGGTCCCTACTAATCTTCTTTTCTTTTGTTTGTTTTGCTAAAGAATAAAATTAGCCGGAGTTAAAGAGTTAACCCTCGTCACATCAAAGCCCTTCTTACTTAGTGACCAGTCAAAAGACTTTTTTGTTAAGCTAAATCTTCGGCTATCAACGGAAAATCATACATATTATTATTTACATTGAAAATGTTAATGAAATTTTCACGTTGGCACAAGAACTAATATGAAAGTCCATCTATTACTATCGATACAATTCTTCCTATTCTATTTTCTTCTTCCAAGCCCTTCTTATGGGAACGCTGACACTCTCGCCCAATGTCATTTCCGGACGTAGTAACTGAATTCAGACTAGATCAAACTCTTCTTTGTTTGAGCTGCTCCCACGCATGCAAACCAAAGATCTTACTTGTTATGGATTAGTTCCTAACGCTATCAAATTATATGAAAAATTACCTGCTATTGAAAGTCATTTTAATTAGAAAGAATAATTTTTTTCTTACATGAGTACAAAACATAAACTCATATTGTATGAGGAGCGGAGCTAGTGTTCGGAGTAGAGTTCGGCCGGACCCAATAATTTTGGTTTAAACTGTATTTGTCTAAAGAAATTTAGTATTAAATATGTACAAGTTATTAATTTAGAACCCAATAAGTCTAAAACATTAGAATCCCGAATTCATAAACTTCAAATCCTGGCTCCACCTCTGCCTCTGAATATATGTCTCTCTCGGGAAATTGTCTCGATATTATTAGCTTTTCTTCATGTTTTATATATTAGGAACGTTTCATTTGTTACCAAGTTACCAAGTTGCCCATGACAAGAATAATGAATCTAACCTAACCGGTCTAATTCTCAGGACAACGTAATATGTCTTTATTAAAGTCACTATATTGCATAAAAACTAGATTATAATTTAGAAATTAATAAGTATCTCACACATACAAAAAAAAAAACTAATTCGTATTCAATATTTGTACCAACTTAACATTTTAATGTTAAGAGCTTGGTACAAACTAAGACTACAATTATTTAACTATCAGTAAATAAAAAACAATTACACAAATGACACATGTCTTAAGATCATTATTTGACATTACGAAATATTTGTATAACTAAGTAATACATATCTTAAATCAGTGATTTAATATAGTGTGAATAGGATTTTTCCATTAATTTGTTACACTTTGGTTCTTCACTTCCACTGTTTGAAATATCAGCCGCTCTCAAATGATATTGACAGCAAACCAATGAGGGTTATTTAAGTCATTTAAACTCAAATTCTGTCGGTCTCTAACTATAGTTAACATTTAACCATGCACTCTGGTTAACTTGTCGGTACGGAGCGAGCACTCGTGAGTTCCAGAACTATAAAAGAGCCAACTAAGCCGTCGGTGACCCAGTGAACCTTCTGAGTTAACTCGGTGACCGAAAATGACGTCTCTCAAAACAAAAAAAAAGACTATATTATTGCATAATTCATTTAATTCATTTGAAATGAAAAATAGGAAAGGCATTATTAATATAGATATATACAAAAACTATATTTTTTCAACAGAGGGAGAAAGATTGATATATAAGCAAGTGATCCTAAATCCTAATGCTTTCTCCAAGGTGAAGAGAAAGAGAGAGTTTTAGAGAGAGAAAGAGGGAGTTTTAGAGAGAGAAAGTCGTAAAAGGAGAGATAGAGAAGAGAGAGCTACGGCCAATGGGGGATTCGAGCGACTCCGTTTCGGTGGATATGGAAACAATCTCCGTCGCCGGAAAGGTTCATTTTCACTCACATTTTCCCTCACCGACACTCGCATTTTTGTAATCATTTTCAGCATACGTATATATACACTTTTATACAGTCATTGATTAATAAATGCCGTGTTTTAGGATGATATTGATAAATGTTTTTTTCCACTTCTTAATGCTTTTGGTGTGTAATTAATTTTTATCGTTGAGTTTAAAATGTTCCTTTCGACCTCAAATATATTGGAAATGATAGCATTTTCTTTGCCAGATTACTTTCTATTTTTTTCAAATGTTTCATGACTAATTTTCACCTAACTTTGAGTTGTGAAGGGAGATTGATTATGCTACATTTTATTAATTTTATTTCATTTGCTTTAGCGTGTGAATTGAGCAAATGCTTTTTTCACCCTTTCTTTTTAAATTTTGTTGTTGCAATGCTTTTTACCTTAATGTGACTAGATATGTTTCTTACTTTTGTTATTTTGTTGTTGCAATGTTTTTCACCTTAATAGGATTTTTTGCTATTAAAGGTCTCGTTTTATCTGGCTCGTTAGAGTTTCAAATTTCAGTTTCCTTTCTCAGTTGAGTGTTGTTTTTAAGCTGCAGGATTTTTTTTTCCTGGAAGCAATATGATAACTGGCTTGGTTTGAATCATAGGATTGTCAGTTTTCTTCAGTCAAATATTTGGGTGCTTTATCTCAAGTTATGCAACTAACAACAAGGTCGATTATCATCAAGAATAATGGAATCCAAAAGACGGTGTGACTTTCAATTCATTTTGTAAACGGATTAAGTTAGTGTGAACCATTTGCTAGGTTTATTTCTTCGAGGATCATTGCACATGGGAAACTCCATTGCAATGCAAAAACATTCTTTATTTTTTTCTAACATGAGCCTTTCCATCTTCTTAGTTCTTAGTGTCGATAAAGTTTCATTTGAGGTGCGGTTAAGCCATGAACCTCATTTAAAGCTAGGTTGTCTGCTACACCTTGCTAAGTAGCTGTAGTGTAGGCGCTAAAGTGCAAAGGCGTGTGCCTCATCACCCATGGGCTGTCTTAAGAGAACAGTACTTGGCAACGAATATAGTTGTAATTTAATTGTAGAAACAATGAGCTTTTAGTTATAGGAATAGGAAATTTGATGTTAGTACTTAGTATAAAACAACTAGCTCCAAAAACATAGAACTACATGTTTTCATCTAATTAAGAATTAAATTGGGTTTCTTACTTTATCGATATAATTTTTACTTCATATATTCTGCTTAATCATTGTTATATCAGTTCTTTTGTTCAAATAGTTTTTTGGTGTTTGTAGTTATTTTTTGGTGCATTACATATATAGTGTTTAAATGTTTTATTTATTTTTTCTTCATTAGCGCGCTTTAATTTAGTGTTTCACTTAAAGCTCAACAACCTTTGGCACTTTTGTGCGCTTTTTGCTTTTAACTACCTTGCATCTCCTGAAAGTTTAGGCGGTTGGGATGCAAAACATGGCAGTATTGCTTATTTGGTAGCTAGCTTATAGCAATCATGTTTTTTTGTCCTAATCTTTCGGAAATATTTCGGTATCTAGTTTACAAGGTTCCTGAGGTTTGATGTCCTACTTTTTCCAAATATGCAATTTTGAACCTAGTTCATAAGGTCTGTTTGCTTGTTTTCCTACTTGTTTGAAATATGCTTATGATATTCCAGTTTTAATTTTTTTAAAAAGCGCAAAATTATGACCTGCTCTTAACGTATGAATTCTACACGACTTTTTATCTCTCTTTCTTAAGGCTCTTAACCTGTTTTCATTCATAAAGTACTTTAAAAAATAGAAAGCCATCAAAAAAAGGACAGCCCGGTGCACTAAGCTCCCGCTATGCGCGGGATCCGGGAAAAGGCCGGACCACAAGAGTCTATTGTACGCTGCCTTACCCTACATTTCTGCAAGAGGTTGTTTCCACGGCTCGAACCCGTGACCTTCTGTTCACATGGCAACAACTTTACCAGTTACGCCAAATGACTCCAAAATCTACTCCTTGCCCCTAATATGCACACAACTTTACGTCACATTAACTTAGTGCTAGCAATTAGTTTTCTCTGTTAGAATATTTACGAAAATACTAATTTTTGTTAATTTTAATCCTCTAATATTCATGCAGAAATAATCTATAAATGAAAATGGATTTTGAACCCCACAAAAGGCTGTATTTTCGGTCAATCATTAACGTCTTTATGGGAAGCTCCCATTTTTACATGTTGCTAGAAGTTGGGATGTTACGTATATATATTTTAGAGAAGTCCTAAAGCAAAGTCCTGATACCAAAAATGCACATTTCAAAAGTAAGACAAAAATAGCACAACCTTTATAAATTAGATATGATTTTGCCTAAACAAATAAACCAAATGTTGAAATGTATAGAAATGAGAAGAAAATGAGAGTGTAAATTGGACCTACTAAAAAAAATAGAAGTGGAAAGAATGGAATTACCTTTAGTGCTCAGGAGCTTTGTTGTTTATAGCCTTACTTGAGTTATCTAGTTATATTATTTAGTATCATGTTTTTTTCTTATCCAGCTTATTTATCATGCTTTTGCTATTTTGCCCTCAGGAGCACCTTGTAAAAACTGGCCATGGTTCCGTCTCTGTTGTTGTTTTTGGGGACCAGGACAAGCCAGCTCTTATCACCTATCCCGACTTAGCTTTAAATTGTAAGTAAAGCCACTTTATTTTGTCATCTATACAGTTTCAATTGCTTAAGTGATAGTTTTCCTACATGTGAATACATGAATTTACATTCTTTCTTAATAATAAGTATACTTTAAATAGAAGAATCACATTATTTAGTCTGTTCCAAGCTTTCTTCTTCACTGCCAGCTTAAATAGATCTGGTAGATGCTCCGTTTTGGTGAAAACTATTGGAATACTTGAATCAGGATCTATCTTTTGAAGTTTCAACATCTCAAATTTTTAGTGGCTCTTACTATATATGATGCTTTTGTGGTTCGTTTACCATCTAATACCAAATTTTATTTCTCTGTCTGCATCTATGTCATTGAACAGATATGTCCTGTTTTCAAGGAGTATTCTTTTGTCCAGAAGCATTTTCATTGCTGCTCCATAACTTCTGTATTTACCATATAAGTCCTCCTGGTCATGAGGTTTGTCACTTGGACTCACATTGATTGTGCTACAATAGAACATGAACTGTTTGGCCAATGTTTCTTCTCAAAATGTTGCTTACCCTGTATATCTGTCAAGAGTTTTTGCAGTTGGGAGCTGCTGTGATGAGTCTTGATGATCCAGTTTTATCGGTTGATGATTTGGCAGACCAGATTGCTGAGGTGCTTGATTACTTCGGGTAATTGTAATGAGCTTGCCTCTTGTCATCAGCTTAGTTTTATTATTTCAGAATATGCTGCCTCTTCGGCATGGGCTTTTAGCAACACTATGTCATTTTTGCAAGTCTATATCTTATTCTGCATTAAGCGGTCGGCAGGACGGATTTATGCAGACACTTAATACTTCATTATGATGTTAAGTGCTCTTGGCTGTTCTGTAGAATCTTCCTGATAGTTCAGCTTGTTTTAATCAGAAGATGAAGCTGATTTTTCCCCCTTTTCTTGCTTCTTCAGGCTTGGTAAAGTAATGTGTATGGGAGTAACAGCTGGAGCATATGTGCTTACCTTGTTTGCTGTAAGTTGTGTTCCTGTGGTGTGTGTATTATTTCTATTTAGCTGATTTATCTATATTTGCCTGATATAGTCATCTGACGAGGAGATTTTTACTTTTTTTTTTCCAGATAAAATATACACGAAGGGTTATGGGTTTGATACTCATTTCCCCTTTGTGCAAAGCACCCTCTTGGACAGAATGGTTGTGCAATAAGGTGTGTTTTCAATGTTTTCTCCAATAGCTCAAGATATTTGAGGATGAATATGTCAACTATGATTCTTGCTCCTGTAAATGACCTGAAATAACGNTTTCCAGATAAAATATACACGAAGGGTTATGGGTTTGATGCTCATTTCCCCTTTGTGCCAAGCACCATCTTGGACAGAATGGTTGTGCAATAAGGTGTGTTTTCAATGTTTTCTCCAATAGCTCAAGATCTTTGAGGATGAATATGTAAACTATGATTCTTGCTCCTGTAAATGACCTGAAAAAACAGTGTCTTACATCTTACGGTGCAATATTGGCAGGTGATGACGAATCTGCTTTACTTTTGTGGCATGTGTAGTTTGGTGAAGGAGTTATTGCTGTTGCGGTACTTTAGCAAGGTTCTTTTCTGCTCTTTTCTGCTACTTCTATACTAGTTCCTTGTAATTAGTGGAGAGTTCAACTGGGTGCTTAATAATGTGGCAGGAAGTCCGCGGCAGTGTTGAAGTTCCAGAATCAGATGTAGTTCAAGCATGCCGAAGAGTTAGTGTTTAGTTTTTTAGACTCCCGTATTTCTTGTATGATGCTTTGCAATAAAGAAGTTTGCGTACAATATTACCCAGTTGACAATATAGTCATTTGTCTGATTCTGCAAAATGTATGATTTTTATGTTGCAGTTGCTTGGTGAGCGACAGAGTCCAAATGTATTGCGGTTTCTTGAAGCTATCAATGAGTAAGTCCTCTAGCAAAAAGAAATTTTAAGGGGATCTCTGCTGTTTAGTTTACTTCTTCTCCTCATTCCTTCTTGTTGTTTGTTGCGGGAAAGAGGGGGGCAGTAGTATTCATCTTAAGTAGGTGGGTTGGGTGGTTCTCTCTCTCTCTTCTCTCTACGAAGCTGATCTAATAGGATGCTCTGTTTTCCTGCTTACAGCTTAGTATAGCGTTAGGTTGCTACTGTAGTGACAAGTAGTATTTTGGAACAACCACGTATAGGATGAAAAATCATTCTTCCAAGTCGCTTATCAATAAAAAAGAATTCATTCTTCCAAGTCTAACTTCCCATGGAGCATGCAAGCCTAAGTGATACATAGTGCCAGATACCCGTTTGGCCATAAAAAAAGGTTCCTTAATTTTTTTCGAATTTTTTCACTTTTTTCCGAAATCAGTGTTGAGTTGAATTTTCACTTTTTTCACTTGAAGTTGAATTTCAGAATTCCAAAAAGCTATTTTTCAAAATTTTCACTTCAAGACACTCACAAAAATTCAAAAACAGCTCCGAATTATATTCATGTCCAAACACAACTCTAATTTTCAAATACCATTTTCAACTTAAAATTCTTTTTTACTTTTTTTCCTGAATTTCACAATTCTTATGTCCAAATGCCCACTAAAATTCGATTTTCTGTCTAGAGAAATGGAGTTTCACTGAGGGATTTCCTTCCATGCTATGGGCCTACTTCCATGGTCAGTTCCATGTTTTGATACATTTATTGAGTAAACTGTTTTATTTATCTGACAGGAGACCAGACATAACCAAAGGCCTGAGGAAACTGCAATGTCGTTCTTTAATATTTGTTGGAGAAAACTCTCCTTTCCATTCTGAAGCTCTCCATATGACTTCGAAGCTAGATAGAAGGTTCAGCGCCCTAGTTGAGGTATTCCAAACTGGTGTCCCCTTCATCATGCTCTGCTTACTCAGATATTGGAAGGTCATCGGATGATATGCAATGTCTGTATTGTTATTATTCATGAAATGTCGGTGTTATTCAGGTTCAAGCATGTGGTTCAATGGTGACTGAAGAGCAGCCAGATGCAATGTTGATTCCACTGGAATACTTTCTCATGGGATTTGGCTTTTATCGGCCGTCTAAGTGCAGTGTCAGCCCAAGAAGCCCTTTAAGTCCGACTAGCATCTCTCCGGAGCTTTTCTCACCAGAAAGTATGGGCTTGAAGTTAAAACCAATTAAAACCAGAATATCTGGAGAAGTATGATCTCAATTCCACGAGGATGGGCTCAAAGTTAAAACAAAATGATAAGTTTTTGTAAAGTATGTAAGAATACATTGAAAGTTCCATTCGATTTGAAGACAGTTTAGGAATGTGAAGTAATAGGAGGGTTGTAGATATAAGAGAGAAAAGAGTTGGAAAATAGGTGGTGGAAGAGAAACAATAAGAAAGAAGTGGTTCTCTTTTTCTTTTTTTGCTTTTTTTTTTTTTTTTTGTAATTGCAATTGTTAGTCAGAAGTTTTGAATCCATCTGTACATCTTACACAATAATTATTTATGCTGATGAAAGGAATAAGAATAATTAAAAGGCAGGTGCCAGCCTTTTCTCCTCGGTATTCATACGTTCTCTTTTTGTTTCTGTCAGTACTAATTTGGTCGTTAATAGTATGCTTCCTAGATGGACAAAAGTAGGGTAGCACCATTTGGTTAAAGATGAAAAGAATTCCTAGTATTATGTTTGATGATAAAAGCGGAGAAATTCTTAAGAACAAAGTTCATCTAAAGTCATAAAAAGAATAATGTACACTAAGATATTCTTTTGTATAAGTTTTGCTGTTAATATTTTCTTATTAGGCCATCTTCAACCATTACCTCCATTTTCTGCTCCAAAATGGAGTAAAGTTACTCCAATCATTACTCCATTTTTTACTCCAAAAAAGAATATTCCATTTTATATTCTTCTCTCTTCAATATTATATTATTATTTTTTATTTAAATTTTATTTTCTTATTTCTATTAAAGAATTCTCTTCTTTTTTTTTTTTTTTTTTTTTCATATTCATCACATATAATTTAATATAAAATTATTTTATACCATAAATTTTTAAATAATATAATTTGTAAGCAAATATAATAGATTACATATATTAACGGATAATTCAAATAAAAGTGAAATCATTGAGATACAAGATAATTAAATACAGATTATATTATGGTAAAGTTCAGATTAAATATTACATAAATATTCAACTTCCATATCTAGTATGCTCCCATAAATGATCTATTAATGCATTACGAAGTGTAAAATGAGCATCTTTGTCCTTAATTTTTTTGTGTCGAGCTAAAAATTGCCCAAATCGGTGATTTTAAATTTTCATGTATTTTCAATTTTAATGTATTTTCATTTAATATATTTTTAATTTTTACTTTTCAATTTTAGCAACATCTAATATTTTATATTAGCACCTTTCAATTTTAGCAACATCTAATATTTTATATTTGCACCATTCATTTTTTGAGATGATTATATATTTTTTGTAAAATTATAACTTATAATAAAATTAACTTACAATTTTACATAAAAATAATAAATGCACGAAAATTAATTTATCAAAATTATACGCCAAAGTTAAGATGCAAAATTAATATTATAAAGATATTACATAAAAATAATTAGATATATATAAAGAGATAAATTAAAAGAGTTAAATAATAATAAAGTGAGGATGAATAGTAATGGAGGAGATGAATAGTGTCACTCCAAATTTGGACTAACACTATTTATCCCCATTTCGGGGGCTAAAATGGGGGAGCATTGGAGCCATATTTTGACAAAAAAAGGTTGCATTAATGAGAAATGGGGGAGGGTTGGAGATGCCCTTACTTCATAAATAAATGATTATGGGTGGGACTAAAAATCAAATATGGATATATCTAAAATGAAGATCTTAGTTTTATAAGTTAAAATTGTGAAGATTATCATCAATGTATCTAAAATTAAGAGGACAATTTTGAACTTCTAATTTCTAAACATAGTATAATGCAAAAAGTGGACTCTTATGATTTATGTAATACAATACAAAATTCTTGTTGGTATCATTGAGTTTTCGTTGCATGCATGCAATAATGCAAGTCTCTTTTTCGATAATAAGTAGAAAATCATTTCACCCGCCCGACCACGCGATGGAGGGTCGAAAATGATTGACACAGAAATGTAATAAATGGACTAATTAGTAGCGTAATAGTCTTTCCAAAAGCAATTCCGAAATGGAATTAGACTATATACCGCTTGCCGTTTTCTTTACACGATTAATATAATTTACCTATTATAGCATGTCAGTTATAATTCCAATTAGAGTAGCGGTTATTGTATTATAATTTGGAAGAGATTTATTGCTTACAATAGAGATTTCTATAATTACTTTATACTTTCTATTTTTTTTTAAATAATAATTTGCAAGTGATTTGATTGTGCAAATATTATTTTAAATTTCAATGCACAAAAACTTAAATTCTTTGAAAATTGATCACTAATAGTAATTAACACCCTGATAAAGCAAATATGAACTAGTTAAAGTGTCGGCTGTCGGCAGTGACTTAGTGAAATTATTTATTTGATTATATGTATTTTTTGTGAATTTCAGTTAGTATTTCATTTTCATACTTTGGTAGGGTATTACGCATGAGAAAAATTTAGAAAGTCTTGGAGATTTCAGGTCTTTGTATAACAATAAATATTGATGAAAGTGAAATATCGCGATGTTGGTTTATACGTCCATCACATATAATTGATAAAAATTTAAAAATAGCCAGATTTATAATTAGTAATTAAAAAATAGTCACAGTTTCAAAACTAATCGAAATTTAATTACTTTTTATGTAAGATAAATTTGAACGAAAATACTACTCAAAATCCGAAAAATATTCCAGCATAATATACTGGAGTTCGAATTTTTTACATGTGAACTTCCAGCATAATATACTGGAGTTCCAATATAATATACTGGATATATTGTACTGGAACTTTCCGTGTGCTGTAGTTCCAGCATAATATGCTGGAAGTTCATACACAGGTACACCAATCTCTAGTATATTATGCTGGAACTTTCTGTATTGCAGCAAAATAATGGCTATTTTTTGATGACATTGCAAACGCTGACTATTTTTCAATTATCAGTCCGAAAACCGGCTAGCCCGTGCTATTTTCACCATATTATTTATGCGTTATTAATGAAAAGATTATTATATAAGAAATACTTACTTTAAGGATATTTTTATCTTTAAATAATTTAATCCCCCTAATAATATATGTATTTAATTTCATAATTTATTTCTCATAAAATAGTACATAAATTAACTTAATAGAGGTATTATTTAATATCACTAATCACACGTAGGTAAACAGTAATTATTTCTTCTTATGCGACCAATCAAACGCTGCAATAGTTATATTACAATTATTTTTTCTTACGCGACTACCCAAAAATTGTATAATATTTTGTGCGAGATAGGTTTATGAAGCAATGCTACGTTTTATTACCATGTTAATTTTCGCATAAAGTAATAAGAAAAACAATAGCAACAAACAACCTGATCTTGCTCCTTTTTTAAAAAATGATATACCACATTGCTTAAAATTAAAAAAAATAAAAATATAACAGATTGCATAGCCAAAGCTAAAACAAGCAGTTTCTAAGAAGCAATTACTTGCATCCATAACTATCACCGCCCCAAATTCCCACCTTAGCATGTCGTGATGGAACCTACTCTCTAATACTAAGTAAGCCTAATATACATTGAGAATTTAGCAGAGATAATGATTTAGATATCAAATTAAACTAGTGAACTATCATAATAAAATCCAAACGGTACAACAATTACAATATTGTCTGATGTAAAGATAACAATAGAAAGGAAATAGAGGAAGGTGACTCCGAGACCTGCGAGTGTCAAGCAGGTATACCTTGAAATCTCCGAAGTAACTGGGTTCACTCACTGGCGTTCAGCACGAGCAGATGTACTTGGAATTGAGTCCAAACTATTCTGAAACACGTTCGAAACTCATCCGAGTCCTCGGGGATCCAAATCAAACATCCACACAAGTCTAAAAATAACATATGAACTCGCTCACGCGACCAAAATAACATTTAGAACCACGAATTGGACAACAAAACACGTGAAATTCAAAAGAAAACTCGAGAATCTCTAGAATTGCAATTAAGAATCCTATCAAACTAACTCCCAATGATATCAAATTTTACAGAAAAATTTCAAATAGCAAATCGGACTTATTCCAAGTCCCAAAACTAAATTCCGAACTCGATAGCCATAAAGTCAACATGTGGTCAAAACTTAGGGAAACTTCTAAACCTCAAATTGCCAACTTTCGGCAAAACAAGTCAAATCTACCTAGGGACCTCCGAATTCAATTTCGGGCATACCCCCAAGTGCAAAATCACGATACGAACCTATCGGAACCATCAAAATACCGTTCTGGAGTTATTTTCACAAAATTTAAACTTCGGTCAATATTTTCAACTAAAGCTTCTAAACCAAGAACCAAAGGGTCCAAATCAACCCAAAATCTTTCTGGAACGAAACTAACCAACCCGACAAGTCATAAACCCACAAATACATATGTGTGAAGCATCAGAAGGTAAAACGGGGCTTAAAATACACAAAATGACCGGTCAGGTCTTTATATTCTCCCTCTCTTAAAACAAACGTTCGTCCTCAAATGTGCATAAAGACATATCTGAAGTGACGAAAAGATGATGATAACGATTTTGTATGTCGTGCTCAGTCTCCCAGTTCGCCTCCTCGACCGGTTGACCTCTCCATTAAACCTTCACTAAAGCAATATTTTTTGACCTCAACTTTCGGACCCGCCTGTAAAATATAGCCACCGGCTCCTCATCATAAGTCAAATTTTTATCCAATTGGACCTAGTTGAAGTCTAATACATATAACAGATTACCATAATACTTCCGGAACATAGAAATATGGAACACCACTTAAATTGCCGATAAGCTGGGTGGCAATACAAATCTGTAGGTCACCTCGCCAACTCTCTCAAAGATCTCAAAAGGACCAATATACCTAGGGCTCAACTTGCCCCTCTTTCCGAACCTCATCACACCCTTCATGGGAAACTCCAAGAAAAAACCTTTCTCTGACCATAAATGCTACATCACTAACCCTCCGATCAGCATAACTCCCCTAGATTGTGCTGTACGAAACCGATCCTGAATCAACTTGACTTTTTCTAAGGAATCCCAAACCAAATCAGTGCCCAACAACCTAGCCTCTCCCGGCTCAAATCAACCAACTGGAGAACAACACCGCTTCCCATAGAAGGCCTCATAAGGAGCTATCTGAATACTCGACTGGTAGCTGTAGTTGTAGGCGAACTCTACAAGCGGTAGAAACTGATCCCATGAACCTTTGAAATCCATAACACATGCACGTAGCATATTCTCCAAGATCTGAATAGTGCGCCCGGACTGCTCGTCCGTCTGGGGGTGAAATGTCGTGCTCAGCTCGACTTGTGTGCCTAACTCACGCTGCACAACTCTCCAGAAATACGATGTGAGTTGCGTGCCTCGATAAGAGATAATAG